TGGATAAATATAAATATGTTTTCAATGACTGTATCTATCTCACCGTGCCAAAGAGCCATCAACAACACAAAACTATCAATACAGTCTAGAGTCACATTACACATGCACTAGAGCTATACCCACTGGGACATGGGTAAAACACTAGTTGAAAAAATTTAGGTTTTGAATGTAAGATTTGATTAAAGTTCAAATGCTACTAAATATATTTCTTTTTCATTTGGATAATGTTTTGTAATATTTGTCCATTGCTTTTATGTACGATGGTCTACTGCATAAACCGACTTGGCATTATTCTTTTAAAAGGAAGTATTATTAAGCCCATGTGTATCTTTTAAAATTTTTGCACATTATTAACAGGGACAGCCTATTACTACTGATTTCAGTGATTGAAAGTTATGGTCTAATAAAAAAAAAATAATAATTTGTTGAAACAGCAGTTTGAAAGCCATTCTCAGTGTGAACAAGAATCAACTTGTCAGTCACTGTATCCTGCCCTCTGCCAAAGAAGAAAAAAGCTTAGCAGTAGTTAGAGAGCTACTGGGTTGAAATCTCTAAGGATGTTCCAACCTATTTGTTATATTTTCATTCACCCTGTCCACGGATGAAAAGTGATGTGATCTTAACTTATTACTGACTGAAAAGCAGCGTCAGGGGCTTTTCTGTAGTCCTTGTAATGGATCTGACTAACCATGCTTAAAATCCAATTGCTATTTAAATCAGACAGTGAGGCCTTCTTTTATTGACATGACATTTGCTAGTCTGTGACTTGAATAGTTATATTTATCAGGTTTTTAACTTTGGGGTGACACTTTGAAATAATAACTATAGTAAGTGATGATGATAAGATTTTACCTAAAATATCTCTCAAATTGTTTATAGTCAATCCTCAGAGTCAAAATAATAATTTTCTTAGAATTATAGTTACAACTTTCAGTTTTATCAAACTCAGACATCTTGTTCATACTTGAATTATGAGACTAGAAATCACTCTATTGTCCATACTTAAGTGTAACATTACACATCATGCATTCTGATAATTTTCTTTTCTTTCTTTTTTTTTTAATTCCTTTTTTATGTTCTCACCACACCATTGTAATGTCTACAGCTCGCCCTGTTGGTAAGTAGCCATCCTTCTATCCATTTAGCATGGCCTTGTACAATGCTTCATAATTCATGCATAGTAGGATTTGATAGAATGAAATATATTTATTCACCCATGTTAAAATATTACCTGAGGGACTATCTGCTGTTAAAAGTTGCTCCTAATTTTTTTAATTACTTGATAAACCATTTTGTAATAACTTTTGCTACATAGCAATGAGTAGGTAACACTTTTTATATGAAAGAATATATGAATGATTAATTTTATAAACGGCTGACTTTCCTTAAGTTAATACATTTTCCTTTTTCTCATGTATAAAATTATTATTGGTTATGTTTGATATTAGATAAAAGGTTACAAACTAAATTAAGAAGTTCTATTGCTTCATGCACTTTTATTTTAAGTTACATAGAGTCTCAGCTTTTTAGGGGTATTTTTAACTGTTGCATACTTATTATTTGCATGCCTATTTAAACAAAATTAAATAGAATGCTTCAAGTTATTGCAGGTAAATACTCATTCTTAGTGGGAAAGGGAGGCATGAGCTGTGTTCTTTGGCATGAAAACTTAGGGTTTCTGGTTTTAATATATTTCGTCTTTCATTTGGCTTTGCAAAACTGAAATAAGTTAACAGCTTGCACTTGTAGAAATTTAAGTGGTAATTATTTATAAACATTTGGAAGATAAAATCTTTTCAAATTCATTGATTCAATAATCTTTCTGCATCTCTTTTAAAGTTTTGTTTAACCCAGCAATAAATATGTTTAAATAAGAGAAATCTTGGTATTTTTGTCATAGGAAAATGAATAGATGAATGCATAAATGGATGAATGAATTGATGAACTTAGTACATTGAACAAGATACTTTAATCATAACTTATTCAATATTTTTAGTACTTTATTTATCCACCTACTTTCAAAAGTTTTCTTAATATACTGGTTTGACATTGTTGACATTTGATGTATATTGGTCCAAACTCACAAAAAAAGTTATGAGTTTGGTTGAAACATTCAGACTTTATAGTCATACAGTATATTCTTAACAGGGATAGCAAGTACAGTAAATAGAACTTTGGTTTCCCAATCTGAATTTCTGATCTGCCTTTTCTGAGCAGTACTTCCTTTTGATTAGTGATTTAATATCCCTGATACTCAGTCACCTCCTCTGTAAAATGGAGATAATAATACTGGCTTATCAAAGCTGTTGCAGGAATGAATTGAGTTTAAAATTAATCATATATGTGAAAAGGGTTTTGTATGCAAGTATTGGCTAACATATTTCTAGTTCCTGAGACATATATATGTATATATATAATTTCCCATTTCAATATTTTTGAAATATAGTTATGGCTTAAAATTAATTGAAACACACCACATTTTTTTTTCCTTGAAACACAGTTATTAAATCAATCATGGTTTTTTGCAATTGATGTTGTTGAAAATTGAGGAATATGTTGTAATTTTTAAGCCTTGTTGTCTTGTACTTGTTAAGAATTTCTATTAATGATAATTTTACGTGTCTATGGGATAACATTCCAAAATTAAAAAGAGAATGGGAAAGAATGAGATGACACAAGAAAAGACAAAGAGCTGATAGTAGGCGACACAACCACTCTGTCAGATTTCCTCTCAATATCTGTGAACTAGGTTTCAAATCCAGAGACTGACTCATTTATTTGTCAAATAAGAAAGCATTGTATTATATATGTGAGTATGAAAAATAAATGGAAAGATTTAAATAAAAATTATATATAATATAGTAGATTATATATAATATATATTAAGTGAAAATATTTATAATGATCTGACCTTTTTCTGGAATGCTTGATGGTTAAAAAACTGTGCAACCTTATTTAGAAGTTATTTTAAGATTCTAAGCATCATGATTTTTACAGCAAATATAAAAAGAAAAAGACTATTGTCATTAAAAAGGATGACATGAGGTATCTAAAAATTCAAGTTATTTTAGCAATGACAGCAATTGCCATTGTAAGATAATGACTTCTCAAATGAACAAGAAAAATTATATTTAATTTATCGATCTTTATATATAGAAATTATGCTGATATACCGTGACCATTTGATTTATATTATTTTACAAGTTCCAGAACAGAAAACAATATGTTAATAGTTTCTAATATATTTAAAAACCTTTCAACAAAGAAAAAAGAACATTGATTTAAAAATGTGATGTACACAGAGTATTGAAATGTATCTGTCACCTACAAGGCATTTCAAGAGTTATTTCCATTTTTTATTCTTGTTTGAAATGATTTCTTAAATTCCCATTGGATTGGAACTAAAGAATAGCTTCTTGACACATTGTATTTTATTCTGGGGAAGTCTGTCATTTCATAAACCTATCTCGAATGACTTATGACAATGTTCAGAAATATGAAGAACTATACTTTAAACTTGACAACTACTATTAATTTTGGAAACTGAATGTTGGATATGTTTTTATCAGCTTACCAAAGAAGAGACTCATAATGAGGAAATTAGCCTGCTTTTTCTTTGCGTCAACTTCTGACATCAATTTTAATTCAGAAACTATAGGTACTTGAACTTTTACTGTAGAGTCAGAACGTACAAGTCAAGTAAAATAAAAAAATTAAATATTCAAGTCACAGAAAAACTACATTATTCCTCATATCTGTTAGTGCATTAAACAGCAAATTTTTCAATTTTGAAGCTCTTAGCATTTGCAAAAAGGGAATTCGACAAAGTAGACCATAAAGTGGGAAGAAAACCCAGCTTTTAATTTCAATATAAATTATGTGAAGAAATATGTACCAAGTATTGAAAGTTTAGAGAAAATTCTGAAAGTAGTTTCTGTCTAAAGCTTTTGAAAGAAAAGTAGAAATCAATTCACGTTCTAGAATACGTATAGAAACAAATGACTACATTCATACCAAACGAAACTTCTTGGCGGTGTGTGTGGAAAGCCCCATTTAGAAATCATTATAAACACCCAAACTGGCAGTTTTGTCCCAATGGATAACTCTTAAGAGCTGTATTTGAGTTAAAATATTTGCAACTCTATGCAATCCACAGTTGGCATAAACAGCTTCTGGCCTGTTCTTTGGAGATTCTTGGAAGACTTGATTTAGAGGCTCCCTGGTATGGGAAACATTATTGATGGTAGACAGTCACATACTTGCCATTGGAGAGAAGTACTTTCCAGATATCACTTACTCGTCTGTATCGTCACCAACATTTCACAAAGAGCCCTTTAATCCAATTTCCATATTTGCTGCTTACCACAAAATCCAGACAAATGCTACTTTGATAATTAAAAATCCACCAACCCTTCCTGTGGTTTTGACTGATGTTTTATTGTTCCAAAGGCATTCTTTATATAAAAAGCAAAAGTACATCCTAGGACATAGTTAGCTATGAATGCTGAAATATTCATTTGTTTATTTGGAAAACTCTTCTGATTAGGAAACTGACAGAAGAAAATGGTCTAAATAGGGATAAATATCCTGCTTCCTATACCCATCTGTCTTATTTTTCTATTGAAGCCTTTTCCAAGCTTAAAAATAAAAAAGAACATCTATTTTAGAGATGGGCAACACATTTTTTCCTAGCAGCAATTCAAAACATGATGAGTAATTTGGAAAAGAACTGTCAAATCTACCAGCTGCCTTGTTTGTGGAGCTGAGTCTTGCTTCGTTTTTATATCTTGTGTACCATATGCTAGCTGCTGATAGCCTCGAGTATGGAAACTAAGAGCTGAGCATGTCAGGTGGAACTTGTTTAAAATATCAAAAGCAAACTGATGATACACAACTTTATGGAAACTTCTCGGTATTTTTTAATTTGGTAAGTTGAAAGTATGTTTTCTTATGATAGAAGAATATAATTGGCCACACAAGAATTTATAAGTATTGAGAAATAAATGTTTTTGGCAAAATTCCACGTTTTTGAATTATCTTTTTAAAGAAGATGACACTATTCTAAACAAATCTTTAAGGACATATTATTTTCAATGTTTTAACTACCTAAACACACAAAAAATATGTATATCCTCATTTTTGAATGTTCTGTTTTATGAGTTGAAGTGGAGTTAGAGTTCTAGCATACTCTAAAGCATTTTATTCTTGAGGCCACCAAGAAGTCCAGTAAAAAGTGAGTGTATTAGTCCGTTTTTGTTGCTTATAACAAAGTACCTAAAACTGGATGATTTATAAAGAAAACAAAATTTATTGCTTACAGTTTCTGAGGCCAGGAAGTCCAAAGTCCATCTGGTGGTGGCAGCAGTGACCCAGGGGTCTCAGGTTGCAAGATGGTGGAAGCAGAGAGAGCAGAGGGAGAGAAAGACAGACTCTCCTCTTCTTTCAAAGCCCTCAGAACCACGCCCATGACCACCACTTTTAATCCATTCACTACTGCATGGTCCTATAATCCAATCATCTTTTCAAGGCTCCACCTTTCAGTTACCATAATAAAATTTCCCACCCTCTTAACAGTCACAGTGGGAGCTAAGTTTCTAATACATAAAACTTGGGGGACACAATTCAAGCTTCAATGAGTTTTGAGGGAACATAATTCAATCCACTACAGTGAGTGATTGAAAAATTCATTTAGGGCAAATTATATATCAGGTATTACTGAAAGAATAATGTTACACTCCCATCCCCCACCCATCATTGAAATTTGGAAAATTTAATATGCTGTATATAATTTAACTTAATATTGGAAATATTCCAGTTATGTTTTAAGTTAGAAAACATGTAGGTATTGTGTATGAACCTTGTCATGTTGAAATGCACTCTCTGCACAAGGGGATCTGAGTGCCACTTTGAAGAGACCTAGATTATTTCTCACATCTCTTCTTCTTTGGACACGTTGTTACCGGAGAGGATCATCACACTCCTGTAAGCTCTTAATGTTTCCTGCACTTGGCACTAATTAGCTACTTTATGCAGAGTCTCATTTAATTATTATTAAGCATTACATTTTCCATTGCTCCATATATTTGATTAAATGATAGGTTTAGATAAATGCATTCT